GGTGGGGCAGAGGAGGTTGCTCCCATCCTTGAAGCAGAGCTGAGCTGGATCGACCCACTCGCGAGCTTCTTACTAGATGGAACCCTCCCTGCGGACCGCAATGCAGCCAAGAGGGTGCAGCGCCAGGCAACCAAATACATCATAATAGACGAATGGTTGTACCGACGATCCTACACGCTCCCCTACCTACGTTGCTTGCGACCTGCCGAAGCCGAGCTCGTACTCCGCGACACTCATGAAGGTCTGTGTGGTAGACACCTGGGGGGCAAAGCCCTCGCCCAAAAGGCACTTCGACAAGGATACTACTGGCCAACGATGATGAAGGCAGAAGTCGTCGAGCTTGTCAGAAAATGCGGCAAGTGTTAGAAGCATGCCAATATCCACAATCAGCCTGCTGCTGACCTCAAGTACCTCACCAGTCCATGACCCTTTGCACAATGGGGCATCGACCTCCTGGGGCCATTCCCGCCAGCAACAGGTGGGAGAAAGTTCCTAGTGGTGGCAGTAGATTACTTCACAAAGTGGATAGAAGTTGAACCTCTGGCAATAGTCACAACCCGAAACATACAAAACTTCTTTTGGAAGAACATAGTATGTCACTTCGGGCTACCTCAGGTACTGATCTCCGACAACGGAAAACAGTTCGAGGATATCAAGTTCCAAGAATGGTGCCAAAATATGGGAATTCGTCAGAACTTCACATCGGTCACACACCCGCAGGCAAACGGCTAGACAGAAGTAATGAACAGAGCCATCCTCCGCGGACTAAAAGCACGACTAGACCAAGCTAAAGGGTTGTGGGCGGACGAGCTACCAAGTGTTCTGTGGGCTCATCGAACGACGGAAAAAACCGCCACGGGAGAGACCCCCTTTAACCTCACCTACAGCACCGAAGCGGTAATCCTGGCGGAAATCGAAATACCTACACTGCGACTAGAAGCATATGACGATCARACAARCGRAGACGAGTTACGYACCAACCTCGACCTACTGGATGAGGTAAGAGACCTCGCGCACATCCGAACAGCGGCCTACCAGCAAAAAGTAGCTCGGTACTACAACGCCAGAGTAAAGAAGAGGAGCTTCTGCGTCGGCGACCTAGTTCTCCGTAAGATCATGGTACCCGAACCCGACGTGGGCAAACTATGACCAAATTAGTCCCGCTTCCATGCCGCTTCCATGACGTGGGCAAACTCCGTAAGATCATGGTAAAGAAGAGGAGCACACTTCGCACCCCAAAGTAGTCCCGCTTCCATGCCGGAACCTTGTTAGGAAGATCATGTAAAAGCTTAAAACCCGGGCAAGGAGACAGGTAATACGCCCGCCTACGCTCGGGGAGGAGACCCGCTTGCTTCTTAAGCATTAAGATGGAAGAGAAGATCTCCAAGTCTAAAGGAAAGCCCTGTTCGCTAAATAGGGAGATTGTCCCCACCAAATTATGAATGGAGTTCGGGTGAAGTTGGTCGACCGTAACGCCGAAGTGATTCAAGACCTCGACAAGGAGGGGATGGAAAGGCAATCGCAGACCCGCAGTGAGCTGCTCCCGGAATATCACGATCTCATCAGGACCGTGTTCCCAAGGAAAGCTACCCGAAGGTATGAAATAAGTGTACTCCCCAGGCAAATTGTAATAGGTAATAAGGGATTGGAGCCCCTCAAGCGTCATGGTCGAGGGGCCAAACTTGTTTAACGTCCGACCCCGACAAGAGGTGGATGCCAAACTACCCGAGGCGACTCGATCTACGGGTTCGAACTCTTCCTCGAGCTCTACTTCCGGCTCGCTAGGACTATCAGGGGATGCGACTCGGTTCGTAGAACCTGCATCTGACCCACTTGAAGAACCATCTGAGCATTCCGAGCTAGACATCGAGGAGAGAAGGTGGATTCTAGGAAGGTACTCACCCGAAAAAAAGCTTGAACTTGGACGCGAGCTGAAAACCTGGGCGCGAGCTGAAACTTGGACGCGAGCTGAAACTTGGACGCGAGCTCAAGAGGCAAAGCACATAAGTGACAAAGCGACTGGGGTCCCCCTCTATTTATACCCACAGTGACCAAAAAGCAACAGCACAGATCAAAGCCAATCCGACGGCCTGCAGTCGCGCTGACCGCACGTCCCCTGAGACAGAAACGTGATTGGCGCACGTGTTTCTGAAACTGACAGAACGCCGGCGCACGTCTTTCTGAAACTGACAGAACGCCAACGCACGTTTCCTCACATTAAAGGCGGCAGTGGCACGTTTTCAAAATTTGAAAGGACGCCTGTTGTCACGTCTCCCAACGGCGCGCTTTTTTGATTTTGAAATAAAGCGCGCGCTGTCACGTCTGGCAGCATTTGTAGGCAAGTCGGCGTGTTTTCCGTCTTTTGGGCACTTGAAGACTAACCCTGACAACGCACCTCTATCAGTCAACCGAGATTCGAAGTACGGGACAAATCCACCTGCCACCTTGCGAACTCCCCGCGCCAAAGCAAGACCCTTAGCACGAGGAGTGGGGGGCAATTGATGAAGGAAKATTTGGCCCGACCTCGTAATCACTCAGCACGTGGCAAATGCAAACAACTCGACACAACAGTGCATCCAGGGCGCAAGCACCAAAGGGAGGAAATCAGCAGTCCGAACTCCCCACAAGGAGTCCGAATTCCCCACCAGCAATCCGAACACGGAGCCCGAACTCCCTACGAGGAGCCCGAATTCCCTATTAGGAGCCTAAACTCCCTACGAGGAGCCCGATCTCCCTACTAAGAGCCCGAACTCCCTACGAGGAGCCCGAACTCCCCACGAGGAGCCCGAACTCTCCCTTAGGCCCCGAGCCACACAAGGCAATGATCCGAACTGGCCCGCCTCATGGCAGTTCGGGACACTCCCCTATCCGAACTCAAGACCATCTCGCTCGCCACTCCAGCACTTCGCCTCCAGGACGCCGAACTAAACAAACATACCATACCTGACACCGAGGAGGTCCGTATCCAAGGGCGGCGCACCTGACTGACTTGGGATCTGACGCTTGACAGCCACCCTTCAACGGTCACCTACCACCGCCACCTGCCACCGTCATCGCCAGTCGCAGAGACGGCTCCGACAAAAGGGAGCAGTGGCGGTTCTGTCCAGCAGAGGGGATGACACCCAACTGGCAGGAGCCCAGAAGTAATCATACCCGACCTGACAGAAGCTTAGGAGTGAGTGCACGAGATGGTTA